AAATATGAAAAATTCTACAATTTATGAAACTATTAAATAAATCACAGTATTTAATAAAAACTATTCAAAATTTAAAAAAACTAAACTTAAATACTTTAATAATAACTTAATTAATTTCGAATAAATTTTAATGATATTAAATTTTTACCTAAGTTTTTATATATTAATATATAAAAATTCAGTAAGAAGTGGTGAGATAAATTTATAATCTTTAAACACTTTTCTCTTGATTCCATAATAATATTAAAAGAAACAGTAGATATTTTCATAATAATAATTAAATTAAAATTTAGAGATTAATTTATATTCTTAAAAATTTCATATATGATGTTTTTTTTTCACACAAATAAATTTTATTAAAAGCAGTCAACAAATTAAGACAATATTATTAAACTGGAAGTATCTATCCCTCACGAAAATGTCAAGAAAAATTCAAAATAAAATTCTGTTCGATTTATCAAAGTTACATGTATTACTTTTAAAAAAAATATCGCTTAATAAAAAATTGTCTATTTCATTCAAAAATATGTCTTTAAACTTCTACTCACCGCAGCTAAAAACAAAAACAAAGCATATTTTTTTTTAACTTTTCAAAATAATTACAATGTAGTATAAAAATAAGTATAGTCAAAATATTGTAAGCTTAAAAACTAGTTGTATAATTAAAACAAAAAAGTGTGAAAAATATTTTGTAGTGAAAATGTGCAACTTTTAAAATAAAATTATATCAGTAAATCATATATTATGTACTTGTAAAATGATTAAATAGTTATGAAAGCTAACAAATAATAAAAATGTGCCAAATTGTATGTTGTGTCCATTTTATTTTTTTAAATGGCCACATCCCCTTCTCCCCTCATGAATCCTTAAAAGTAAATTTATTAAAGATATATAGTAATAATAGAACCTATTTTTAAATTTAAAGTTTTAACAAATTACAAGCATTAAAGCTTATGTATAAAATGTGAGTTTAACTTAAATCTGCTATTTCGCAAAAAAATTTTCTGTTTAAAAATATATAAAAAATTTTAAAATTATAAAAAAAAATGTAGCAGTTATTTTTTTCTTCCTAAGAGATTAATTGTAATACTGAAACAAACACAAGCGCTGAATTATATATATATATATATACATACGTATATATAAAAGTATTAAAAATTAAAATAAAATTTTTTAAACAAAAATTACAAGATAAGAAATAAATTAAATCAACATACACAAAGCAAAAGATTAAATGAAAGCAAATGTAACAATCACAGCCCGCGAAATAATTTTTTATATATAATTATTATTTTCAATAAAACATAAAAATATTTAAACACTTATGTTTAGTTGAATAGAAATATGGATATGAATTCTCAAATAAAATTTCAACTATTTCTTCTTAATATTTTAAATGCAAATATTTGCGCAAATCTACTTGTTAAGAAAACTATAAATACTCAAAAAACATTACTCTTATTTTGATTAAGTTTTTTATTTAACAATAATCTTCAAATTTCAATTTTGTAAAGGTTGTGAACTGTGAAAATTTTAAAAATTATAAACAGATTTAAACACAAAAAAAAGTACAGCATTAAATATACACAGTCAGACACAATATCTAAAACAATATTTAAATAAAATAATATAGCAACATTCTATTAATATAAAATAAAGATTGTAATTAAAAATTTATGAAAAAAAAGAAAATACTTGTTTGATTTTAAAATCGTCGATGATAGACAGGACTAACCACATATTAGGTCTGTACTCGTAGTAACTTTGAGTAACACTGTGTATACACAAGTGTGTCCCACCAACAAATTTTCGAGTAAATGCGATAATCTGAGAGCGTAACATCCCTGCCAAAATTTTAAAATTCTACACAGACTTTACTCGTACATTTTATTTCAAGTAAAATTTGCGTCGATATGTGAATCAGCTGTTTTAGTTTCAATTTAAATTTTTGTATTGTTTATTTGTGCGGTACTGGTGTTCTCACCAGACTAAACAAAGCTGTTCCATGAGGATCTTTGTAAAGAGCGTAATTTGGCACTTTATTTGTGTTACGCTCTCATTTTGTACTTTACTTGTGTTTACCTTGAGTTTTAGTACGAGTAGCTCGTGGAACAGATATATTGTGTTCTTCTTATTGTTATCGAATAATGATGTTAACACATTACCTATAACGAAAGGACCTATAACGAAAGCCAGACTCCACCTAAACACAAATAGGTTTTGTTTTTTTATTTGGTTTGCAATTGAACAAAAAAAAAAAAATATTATGGATTGTTAGTATTATTAATAGTATCAATAAACATAAGATAAAAAATAATTTTAAGAAGTTGCATCTTCCCTTTTTAAAAATTCTAAAGATAAATACCTCATTATTGAAGATTGTCCACAATTTCTTGATCTGGATTACATATTTGAATGTATTATTAATATATATTTTATTCAGTTTCGATATAATTTTACATAGACGAAATAGATTTATTAAAATTGATGAAGCCTTTAAATCGTTTCTTTCCTTGAATATTTAAACAAACTGCACTAATCAGAAGCTCATATTTCAAGAATTCTTTAATATATTCCTTAAATTTATTATATAAACTTTATATTCGATGATAACAATTAGCTTGCTTTTTTTTTGTTTATCTTAACAACTAAAAGACAATCTGAGTATTCAGACGCTAGGTGTATTCATCGTAGTTCTGTAACTCGGTAATTACTACAGTCATAATGTGACAAACGTCTATATATATAAACGCCCTTTTTTAATTCTTTTAAGATAAATTTGCAAAATTGACAGTGAAAGTAGGAGATTTTTTACATAAAAGATAAAAATTGGTAAGAAAAGGTAGAAAAAGTTTAATTTAAGTAAAATTTCATTTATTTAAATTTTTATGTCCATTATATTTAATCATTTATTATTTTTTTAACTAAATTTAAGTTTTACTCAACATAAGAATATTTTATAGAATATCAAAAAAATTATGAGACTTGATGATAAGGTAGTTCGGTAACTTTTTGATTTCATAGGAATAAAAAAATAACATTATTGGTTAAGTTCCTATTAAGCAAAACAAGCAGCTAAACTCCTATTAAATTTAACAATCACCTAAGATTCCTTTACTGAGTTATGGCTAAACATGCTTGTTAAAGTCAATTAATATTTTGTTTTATTTGTGTTAAATAAAATCAAAAAAATTCCATGAAGAATATCTACAAAAATCTTATCTAACTTTATTTAAATTCTGTTAAATATTTCACAATAACAAAATGAAAATCAGTTGTTTTACTGAACTTCAAAAAAAATTATGTTGAAGTTCATTATTATTATTATATATTATTTAATATGTTTATTAATTAATATTTTTTAATACTGAGATGCCTCCGTTTATAAAGAAAAAGTTATCACACTCTCTACCATTAAAGTATGGAATGGTAAGATTGAATTCTGTGGTAAATATTCTATTTATTGTACAGTCAAAAATTTTATTGCCAATTTGGTTCAAAAAGGTACATGTTTCATAATTAAAACTTGGTAAAATTTTATAGATTGGCGTACCTACTCGCCAACCATATATAATGTTTAACAATTTGTAAATTCGCTTTAAAGCAAATAGTCTGGTCACCTTGTTCTTTGCATTTTTCAGTAGTCATCCCTGATTTTGAAATGTCAAAACAAATGATGCCAGTGCAAAGCCCAAAACGAAAACAATAACAAATATGACGACAAGAACTAATTATAAAAAAAATCGTTCATTTGATTATAAACTAATTAATTTAGTTCAAAAGTATCCAATTTTATTTAAAAAACGAAGTGGTATTAATCACTACCAAGCTTTGAAGACGAAAAATGTTATATGGCAGCGGATTGCAGATGAAATGGAATCGACAAGTAAGTAAATCTTTAATTAAATTATCAGAAGTTAAACTTTAATTTTTAGAAACAATTTGTATAAAACGATGGATTAATTTGCGCGGGCAATACACAAAGGAACTACGTATGTCCAGAGAATTATGCCCAATCAAAGGTACTTTACGCGGTTCACATTGGCCATACTTAGAACAACTTAATTTTCTTAAGTATAAATGAAAAGTAGTTTACTTTAATAGTCACAACAGATTTTACATATTACAGAATTGAAGAAAGTGTGAGCTCACCTACTGGATCAGGCAATAAAAGTGAAACTGACTTAGAAGTAGATAATGATGAAGATAGACAAGTTAATTGTGGGAAGCTTCCAGAAAATATTATAACTGATGATATATTGGAAAAGCTAAAAAATGAAGAATTTGTTGTTGTTGATGAAATGGATCAGAATGCAGAAACATTTAAGTCTATTCCACCTAATGAAATAAAGCAAGAAGAACCTTTTAAAACATCCCATGTAATAGAGCAACAACCTATTGCAATATCCTCATATGTTAAAGTAATGCAGCAACAAGTTATTGAAACACAACATGCCAAATCAATGATACACCAACCTATTGTAATACCACAAATCAAAGTAACACAGCAGCAACCCACTGCAACACCCCATATTGATATACTAGAGCAGCAACCTATTCAAGTACCTGATGCTAAAGTAATAAAGCAAGAACCCGTTGAAAAACCTTTCAGCCTAGAAAATGCTTTAGTTGAAATAAGTACACATTTAAGAGATTTTGATGACACAAACAGATCTGTTGTCGAACAAAGAATTTTAGATTTTTTACGTAAAGTACCCCTTAATACTACAACTTTGAAGTATATTAACAACTTAGAAATATAAAAAATAACTAGAGGTTATAAAATAACTACATTTGATTTTAACTTCCCAACACAAAAATTACACTTTATTACGGAGAATGTTTTCCATTTTAAATAATCCTTTTTTGTTGATATAATTTAAAGTCAGCTTTTATTTACAGTAAGTTTTATTTTGGTTTTCATGTAACTCGTAAATAGAAAATTTCAGTGTCGAAAAATTTTTGTAAAACAATTTTCTATTCAACATCATAATAAGAAGTCATAGAAACAGATTTTATATTCTTCTAAACACGGGGCATTTTTAAATAATTATTATATTATTTAAACTATTTTACAGTAATCTTGTTTAACTCAACCCAAGGTATTTTTGGCTTAATAATAAATTCCTCCCGCGATAATTGGTCCAGCATAATCATTTGGATTCGTACATATTTGACTAGCCGTTCAATTCGCTCATAATCCTCACAATTCATTTCAAAAAATCTACGCCATAGCGCTCCAGCCATAATGCTGTCATTCGACATTGCTCCTTCGTCGTAAGCTATTAGAGCAGCCTGAAACTGTTCGGATAAAATTTCTATCTGTTTGCGTGTTTGAGATGGATTATTTGCCTATATAAAACAAGACTTAGTCATTTGGATTTTCTTTGAATAAGGTTATTTTAATTTTAACTTACACCCAATTTTTTTGCACGCATATTTACATCACCCCACATAGCTTCCACAATACAATTACGAAGAAAACGTCCGTCTTCTCCTGACTCTGAACCCTCTGCCATTGCGCGGACCAATAACATCCAGACATGCAATTCTGTAACAAGAAACCAAGAATTGAAGGTATTTGGCAGTTTGAAATCCCGAAAGAAAACTAAATAGTTAATTTTGTCTGCTACTGTTTCATACAGCATATGACTTGCTACTTTAAGACGCTAACAAGAATATATAAAATTAACAATTAGTTAATAAACATATTTTTATAAATACGTACTGATTTTGAATTTGGTGCAAGTCCAACTTTATGTAGTACACGTTTAAGTATGCCATTTTGTTGTTGTAATTGTTGTTTTGTTTGTTTATTTATTAAATTTGTTTCTGCCGTGCAATATTTCCTTTTCGAAAGCTGTGGATGAATTTTGTTAATATGACAAGCATCTGTAAGACTATCAAAATATAAGAACTGTTGATTCCGCTCAGTGTTTGTAGTTGTCTGCAGTTGAGCGATCTAAATAGAATAAAAATAAATAAACATTAATATAACGTTTACATAAGACATGTCAGTGGGGTTCATTAAATTTTATGTGAATCGAAAATTAAAATAAGTTTGAAATTAATAATGCACTCACAGCTGATAAACATTGCTTTGTATTTGAAAACTTTGCTATAGAACGCAAATTAATCATTATTTTTAATTTTATTAATTTAAATTTTTGTACACATTAAATTAATACTTGCACTAAAAACAACCTCTGCAACTGTCAAACAAAAAATGATGCCACCATATTTTTTTAGAATCATGTGCTTTTTATCGCATTCGTTTTAATAAGAAGAATTTAGATTCATAGGTATATTCTTCCGACCAGAATGCTTCAATAGAACACATGTGGCTTAAAAATTAACATGCAAATCAAAAATAAATTTCACAAAAATAATCCCACTTTCCTGAAAGTGCTTAATGGATTAGCCACTCGAACTACAATAGTGCCAAGTTTTAAAACTGATCTCTTATGAATGATTTTTGGATTAAAAAGGAAACCTCCAATCAGATGACAGGAGTTTGTTTATAATATATAACTGTTGCGAATGTTAATGAGAAAATTCAAATTTTTTTAAAAAGTAATTTTTTTTATAAAATTTGTTACAAGTTGTGACAAATTCTGACAGGTTAGTAATTGTGAAGAAGTCATTATTTATATATGTTAATTTGTGTTTTTACAATTTAACTTTATTCTTATCGTAAGTCAAAAGTTAATCTATTTCTATATTTTTACAAAATGTTAAATACAGTTAATCAAATAAGAATAGCCTACTATTCAATTATGATTATACATTTCCAACAATCTCTTGGACCTAATTTTTGAAACCACTAAAGTAATGTTTAACATGACATTGAATTTTGTTTATTCAAGATTAAAACGAACAGGTTGTCTTCTCCTTCTAACCGACCGTCTTAATTGAACTGGCAACTGATCAGTGTGTGTGGACCCATATCTGTCGTCGGACTCCGCTTTGTCGTCTTTCTCTCTTTGATTTTGTTTCAAGTCAGATCCAGTAGTGATTATTGTTTCATCGGTCCCCATTTTGTCGTCTTTCTCTGTTTGACTATGTTCCGGGTCGGATAAAGTAGTAATTGTTGTTTCCTCAACCGGTGGTGTCCGAATACCGAAATCTAAATCAATATCAATATTATCTGCGCTAAGCTGATTTGAATGCGATGACGATAAATTTCGACGTATTTGATTTTGATGTCGTTTTATGTAACCATTTTCAGTTTGAATAAAATACATTTTATTTCCCAGCAATTTCTGTATCACGCCTCTGATCCATTTATGCGATCCCGAATAATTACGAGCTAACACTTTCTCTCCAACTCCGAATTTATTTCTATTTTGAGTTTTCATAGTCTCCATAACTTTCGGGAACAACGCCGATAAAATGGTTCTTGGTTGCCGCCCATGTAACAACTCTGCTGGCGATTTATCAGTTGCTAAGTTTGGAGTAGTTCTATACGTTGTAAGATATTTATACAACGCTTTGTCAATATGTTGTTCCTCTTTCATAATTTTTGTTACTGCTTCCTTAAAAGTTGTCACATGTCTTTCCGCTAACCCATTCGAAGCCGGATGAAAAGAGGCAGACGTGAGGTGCTGCATTGTGTTCATTTCACAAAACTTTTGAAATTCATTGGACGTGAATTGTGTTCCGTTGTCTGTCACGATAGTGCACGGAAGACCTTCGATAGAAAAAATTTTTTGTAGAGCTCCAACTGTTGTTACAGCTGTTATTGTTGATAGTTCCACAATATATGGAAATTTTGAATATGCATCCACAACTATGAGCCACATACGTTTAAAGAATGGACCCGCGAAATCCAAATGAACTCTTTCCCACGGCCTACTAGGTTCTGGCCATGCAGAAAATTCTCGCTTTGGTTGACTTGCACCTTGTTGACAAGATGAACAATCATCATGAATACGTTCTATGGCTTTATCAATAAGAGGAAACCACACATATCGTCTTGCCATCTGTTTCATACGACCTTTACCCCAATGACCCTCGTGTAACAAATTTAATACTTGAGATTGCAGTGCTTTCGGTAGCACCACTCTAGTATATTCAGCCTGAAGAAGTAACACTCCATTCTGAAATGATAAGCAAAATCTGCGATTAAAGTACGGTTTAATACTACCTTCAGATTTCGGCAATTGTTCAGGCCAGCCATCTTGTACATATCTGCTGACACGTTGAAGAGTGTTGTCATTAGCAGTCATATCCTTTACTAATGTTGCATTTACTGGAAGATAATCCACAGCATTTTGATAAACAGTATCGACATCATCTAACATCACAACTTCCTTTCTATCAAATTGTATGTCATCCCCACACGGCAATCTGGAAAGAGCATCAGCGTTAGCATTCTGAGATGAACTTTTGAACCGTATAATGTATTCATATGCTTGAAGTACAATAGCCCAACGCTGTAAACGATGCAACGCCATCACTGGCAACTTTCTATTCGGATTAAACAGTGTTGTCAACGCTTGATGATCAGTTATTAATTCAAAACGTCTTCCATAAAGATATTGATGAAACTTGGTCACTCCATAAATTATTGCTACAACTATAGGAGCGGCCCAGACGCTGCTTCTGATAGCTTTCAAAACTCCAATATTTACCAACCGATCAATTTCGATGCGAACGTCTTCTATTTTCGCAAACGGCAGGTTGTATGGTTTAAAGAATTTAGGCTTAGCATCTGACTTCAATCTGATTTCAGCTTTGAACAACGTACAACGCCCCAATTTCGAAGAAAAAATGTTAGCATGTTGACATCTGAGTTCATGTAGAGATGCGGTTAAACTTTGTTGACTGTCACAAGGATTATTTGCATAACATTCAATAACAGGTAACTGCAGTTTGAAATTTAATACTGTAAACAAATCCAATCCCAGTATGTTAGTAACATATTCATCGTTAACTACAAGTATCTCAAGGCTTCGAGTAATTTTTCCATACTTGACATTTACTCTGAGAGAACCCTTAAGAAAAATAACAGCTCCTCCATACGCTCTCAGAACTTTATTCGTAGGCCCACAACTAGGTCTACCCAGTTGTTTATATGCCGCCAAACCAATTAAGGAACATGTTGCACCAGTATCTACTTGAAATGTTAAAATTTCGTTATTTATATTGAGGTCAACGAAAATTTTAGATGAACTAAGTTGCGAATCAACTGATTTAACTTCCGTTGTTTCATTCGCATTAATTGACTCAAATGAAACATCACTCATAGAATATACATCTCTTGCTCTATTTTGTTCCTGTCTTCGAACCTTAAAATTAGAATTCTGCTGGATACCTGTCACTGCTGATTGACAAACTGCAGCAATATGACCTTGCTTTGTACATAACCGACACTTTGTTTTGTTCTTGTAATGATAACATTGATTTCTTTGATGTGCTTTCCCACAAGCTGGACACGGTTGTCCTCCCTTCACTGAATTTCGGGACTTAATATTACTTCGATTCTGTTTAACTTTCTTACTTGAACTGTGATTAACTTCATTAACTGTTTGACTGATATCTTCACCTCTAATTTCGTTACAAGTTTTAACCGTTGCTTCATATATTGCTGCTATCTGCAGTACTTCCTCTAGCGATGGGTTTGTTTTCTGCAACGCGGCACTACGGACTTTATCGTGTGGTGTGTGTATCACAACCATATCTCGTATACAATTATCTATAAACGATTGCTGGCAAGTTTCACTAGTACATAGGAACATGCACTCTTTAGCTGCACCACGCAGTTCTGCCACCCACTCAGCATATGATTGATTTGCTTTCATTCGTATTAAATGAAATTTAAAACGTGCTGCTAATATATGCTGTTTTTCCGCAAAATGATTATCCAATTTTGCTAGTAGTTCATCAAAAGACTTATTCTCTATATTATTGTCACATAACTTTTGAATAAGTTCAAATGTCTCTGTACCTATCCACGAAAGGAAACATGCGCGTTTTAATACATCGTCTTTCACTTGATGTGCCACAAAATGTTGATGCATCTGCTGAATATATATCGACCACTTTTCAACATTTTTCTCAAACCGTCGAAAGGTTGGAGTTGAATCGGATTTTTTCCCGTTAATTACGCTTCTCAATACTTCTTCATTTTTGTTTAATATTTTCTCAAAAAATTCTTGATTTGCTAATGAGAACTCTCTTAGAACTGTCGCGAGTGCCTGAGCATCCATTTCCTCGTCGCCAACTGTTAATTTGTGTTTTTACAATTTAACTTTATTCTTATCGTAAGTCAAAAGTTTATCTATTTCTATATTTTTACAAAATGTTAAATACAGTTAATCAAATAAGAATAGCCTACTATTCAATTATGATTATACATTTCCAACAATATATAATTATTATATTTGTATTTAATTGATACAATACATGTATAAATACAAAAGCAATAATAATAGGCGTTTTCGGTGGCTCGCAAGTGTGGCAAAAAACAGCAAGCCTATACTGGCAGGAATGTATGCAAACCAACAACACTATATTCTCTTCCTAGGCCAGTAATTAAATACTGGGCACACACTTTGGCCAGTAACTAAAAAAGTGTTATCAATGCAATTAGAAAACAATGGTGAACTTTCATTGGAAATTTCAACGAATATTGCAATCATATGCCACAAATCACATGTAAACGAAAATTCAAACAAAATTTAAAAATTTTTGATCTTATTCATATTAAGGACGTGTGCGAGTTAGGCTAAGTTGCGTTCTAAATGAGGGAAATTCTGAGGTGAACGGATAACGTAGTGATGTGTCGATACGTGTTGATAAATGGCTAAATGTGTGCAGTGCAAAAAATCCCATAAAATCTCCCATTTGGTTTAGCATCAACTTAGCCTAACTCGCACACGTCCTAAATATATTTATTTAAAAAAAAAAACATTTTTATAAAATTATCTGTAGTATGTTTACTGATTTAGGCAGTGATGCCAAGTTATTCTTAAGCAAACAGAAGTTCTATTGTGGCATTCTAACTATAAACACCATTCATTGTAGATATTTACAATTTTTCCTTTACTGTGTAAATTAACATCTAACGAAGTGATGTTGATTTCATCAAGAGCGTAGAATGTTTTGACTACAGCTCATTACTTCTTTCTGAAGAACGTGCTTCCTCAGTAGCAAGAGTGCAGTAAGATTAATCGGAAAACGTACAATTTTGCATGGCAAAAAAACAATATATATATTAATAAAATATTTTATTTTAAATTATTATATAATGAGATGCAAATAAAAAAGTTATTAAACTGTTAATAACTGTAAAACATTGTTTGATTGAAATGTTTAATAAAAAAATCGCGCATCAAAATTGTAAACAAATTTTAAAATATGAAAAGAAATCCTAAGAAATAAAACAATGCAAATTTGTTAAAAAAATTGCAGAAATAAGTGAAAATATATTAAAATTATAAAAAACAACCTGCGTCGACTGAACGCAAGTTTCTTAGAAAATTGTAAATAAACTGGATTTAATTAGTAATAACCAGTAGCGAGGCGTCAGCTTTTTGGCAAGGTGTTCACAATTTAATCAAAACAGAATTCCAACTATAACGTATTCCCCCTACTTCTAAGTTTTGTCCTTTTCACAAGCAAATAGCGTACAAGACCAATAAAACAATTTATTTAAATGTTCGCAGCCTGTGATCCACTGGTTTTTATTTACCATAAAGCTATAGCTGTAGGAAAACGACGACTTACCATAGATTTCGACATTTTTACAACAGGTATCAAATTCTTCATATCTGGAGTTGGTTTATTCATTTTATGAATTAAAATCTTTTTTTCAGAAGATCGTTTAAAAAAAGATATTTGAATCAAATCTTTAATCACACATTAATTCATTTCTAAATATTATTTTTCACTTCAAATTTCTTTAATTTTTTTCTTTACTTTTACCATTTGCTAGTATTAAATTGCAATAATGACTTTGTTATTGATTTAATTCCAACCTCTATATAAGAGTAAGAAACTCTCATGCATTCATTTACTCTTTTACTTTGTATTTACAATGCCCGGTTCAGTTTTTATACTGAACCATTTCCCCATATAAAACAGCAACCGTGACTTTGATTGTATTTGCACGCTTTGTATAAACTTTTGGTTCAGTTTAGTGGAATGATCCTCTCGTCAAATGTAAAGCGATTTTCGCTCAGTTATTTCTTTTCTCTTTTGTATTTACTTTGCATAACATTGGAAGTGCACTTTTTTTATTGAACTGCTTGCACGCATTAATTTAAGAGTTAAGATTATTTTACGTACATATATTTGTTTGTATGTTTTGTGTTGTGTATTCAATATTGAACATAGTCCCAATGTGAATGTTATTTCATTTGCATGCTTTGTAAGCAACGCGGTACAGTTTTAATTTTGAACCTTAGTATATTTTAAGAGGAATGTGTTTTCTCTTTTATTAATTGTAAGTAATGTTGGGTGTAACTAACACATGTGTGATTTTGTTTGTATTCTACGTTTTGTGTTTATGTTAATCTGTTTGGAAAAGCTATTATAAAAAGTGTTAAGTAGCAATATAGCGAGATTATTTACCTAATAAAAAAAAATCTAAAAAGGAAGCTTTGTTAAGGTGTTCAGTGAACACTCTGAACCATTCGACGCCTCGCCTCTGTATTGAACCCATCTTTTCAAATTCGTGCTCGTTTCTGGTTCAGAAAAAATAAATGTTTTTCAGTAGGTTTTCTCTTTACAGAATTATAAATCGGTAATAATGCGGTTTGTTTATTGAAAGAATGTATATATTTTATTTTAAATGGTATCTAGGAATACCAGATAATTAACAAATCTGAAGAATGTGGTTAGAATACTATATTTCATGAGAAAATTTACTGAGGAAATATATAATGTCTGCATTTACTATTGTGTACTTTAACCATTTCAGGTTAAAGTAGAAACTGGTGGAGTAGATTTTGATGCTTTTAGCTGGCACGTTACTTTTAGTTATTTTTACGAATACTTCAGCCAAATTGAATATTAACTGCATAGAATAATACACTATGGGGGTTTCGTTAGTTGGTTACATTTAGACTCGATCCATTGATCCAAATAACACTTCTGTTAGCAAAAGCTCTAATTAACATTTTTGTTAAGAATTTATTTTACCCACTGATTAGTAGTATACGGATTTACTTCGTAATTGATATGAATGCAATTTAGAAAGGCAATTTATATGCAATGCTATATTTTCTATTTATCATTCAATTTATTTTGTAAATGATGTTGAGAACTTATTATTTTTAAAATTTAATTCATGACGTTGTAATATGAATTTGTAAAAATATTGATTTTAATATTCTTAAATAATAATCATATTTAAACACAATAATAATAATTCTTAATAACATAATAATTTACAGATTCCATCGATCTATCAAATACATTTTTAGAGAATTTACAAAAACTTATTAATCAAACGCCGATTACCGATGTCGAGACTACCGACGATGAAGAGGAATACATTGAGTATGTGTATAGACCACGTCAATACTTTTCCGTTTCGCTGTGCAATGTAAGTTTACAGAGAAAAAAAATTGTCTGCTTTTATTTATATATACCTAAATAAATATATTCTATTCGTATAAAGATTTATCGCTATTTAATTTAATTTTAAAAATGTGTTTTTCTTCAAGTACTGCAAATGTGATTTAAATGGACAGATGCTCCACGAGTGTAAACGCTGCAGAATGGTTTTCTACTGTAATCCGGAACACATGAAGAGCGACGAGCAGCACCGGCAATGCTGCTATGCATTGAGGCAAGTTGCCGAAAATTGTGGTAGGTCATACCTAATATTTCAAAAAACGAAAAAAAAAATTAACAAGACACACAAATCATATCGGATATGTTAAATGAATATTTTAATGAGAACATTTTTGGTTAATGGCTATGAATTAAATATTAATTGAAATCTATAAAAAAAAAATGTGCAAAATTATTTGAATATGTGCGAAAATTAATGATATGCAATTCATTTAATTAATTTATAAATATATAATTAATACAATATAAGTTAATGAAATGTGAAATTATATTTATATATATATAACAGGTGGATATATATTCTACAAATGCGATGTGTTTACAATGGATCAATTTCGATCTTACCGAATTGTCACTGTCCGACAAGTGGAATCTATAATCAATCGCACCTTAACACCTACCGAAAGAGAAATAGTGTTATTTCCAAGAATATGTACCAACAACAAATGTAGGGAATATCGATTTAGTAAATTAATGGATTGCAAAAAGTGCGGACAGGTCAGTTAATATCAAATTTTTATAAACAAAGAGCTTTCAGCTATAAGGTCTTACAATAGATCGATACTGGAATACGAAATATTTTTCAATCGATCTTTACCAAGATTTTTGAGAGTGATGAGGTGAAAGATCGTTGTCAGAATTGCCCTGCTAATTGACTAACTGTACTATAACTGTACTAACTGTAATAGTTAAGCTATTTGTTTGAACCGTGACCTAATACTTACTAATCTGACTATCTAAACTAAATATTACGAATAGTAAACTTTAGAACCATATCTTCCTAACTCAACTTGTTAGTATTCCTTTCTGAGTTGGTATTTGCCTATCCATGAGCGGCTCTTTTCTGCTCATTCTCCCACAGCTCGTTAGCGGGCAAGAAACTTTTTTCATACGATTGCTCATGCATACGAGCGAGCGCAATTACAGCAGCAAAGACTATTCAATATAATAAATACTCATGGGGTGAGTTCTCGACTTGGAACATCTCATGAGCAGCTCTTCAATATAAGCAGATTGAAAGCTCACGCTGATGAGCAGTTTTTCAATACACGCAAATTTTGGGCTCACGCTCTGAGCAAATACGAACCCTGATTCCTTCAGTATTTAATGTAACTAGTAAGTTAGGTTTCTAGAGTTAGTTTACAACAATAATATATATTAATTATCATAAATAATATTTTTATTAGCAAGTGAAGTCAGTTATAATTAAAATACGTAAAACATGGATATCGTGCATGCGATGTTTAGGATTAATATATCTATTTTTTTAATAATAATTTTGCTCTTATTCTTTATACATATATGACTTATAAATAAATTTGTAAATAAAGGATAAATTATAAATTTATATGAATAATAACAGTTTTACTTATATAAATTGTATATATAATAATTTTATTATTACTAAAATGCGCTAATATATATTTATTTGGTAAAATAATATTAAAATCTGTATTACTTTTTTGTGGTTTCAGGTAGCATTCTGTAAAGATAAACCAGATCATTTAAAAGCAGATCATATCTTATGGTGCGAACCATTTAGATTATTTAAGAAATTAATAATATTCCAAGAGAAATATGGAAGACTTGAACCTACATTACCGTCCAAAGTTTTAAAGGATCTACCAGGCGCCGTTTCAAATACACAGCACATGTTTTTCAAATTGAATTTAGGTATAACTTATATATATATAATATTTTTTTGAAATATACATTAAAAAAATATTGAATCTCTTTTAGATATCAAGGAATCCTGTGAATATGCAGTTCTAAGTCAAATTGCAACGGGTCCTTTGACGGCTTGGTATGCACTAAAGCTTTGCGAACAGTTAAAGAGTAATGAAGAAGTCACTATACATTTAATTGGTTTGTAGATTGGTACTATACTCATGTATATCTAAATCTAATTTGCTGTCTTACAGGGGCTGAAATTGAGTTCGAAGTCGATACGCTTCATAAATGGGAATTATTTTTTTTACACATAACACCACATGTAAAAATATTAAATATAGTATTTATAGGACCTGAACTGAAACAGACAAATATAAGTTTTGAACAACTGCAAAAAACTAAGTAAAAAACATATTTATATTATTATAAATAAAACAATTAAACAATATTTAAATTTCTTTTTCATTTAGATGCTGCCGTGTATGTCGTAAAAATGGTCGTGAATTGAATTATTATTTTGAAAATATTGTTTATCATGATTATCGTAAAGGAAAGACATTTTCTCAACCAAATTTAAGTAAGCTTCTAGATGGAATATCTCAAGTGATTAGTTTCTATCTCTTAAACTATTCTCATTTAGCTTTTGCTTGACTTACAGCTTCAATATTAAAATCTTATGCCCTCATTTGTTTAATCGTTTAATCCAAATATTTTTTTAATTCCTTTATTTTGCAGTTTGTTTCTTCAATGCTGGACTATACCGTTCCACTGGTTTTCAAATGGAAGATAGTTGGCCAGAAACTATTGATGCCGCTGTTAATTTAAAATGTCCAATTATCGTGACATCATACACTGCTTACGAAAGTCCTTTGGATATGAAACAGATTTTACAAGATAGTGGTAGATGTCTTAACATAATATTACCGCCTACTATAAACCCATTTGCTTCAACAAAGCCGGAAAGGAACTTCATATCAGAAGAAGACGCTCCATTGATTTTTAAAAATTATTATTGTTTTGTAGTTGAATAAAACAAAATTTTTTTTCATTTATACAAAAAAGTTGAATATATCTTAATATTATATAAATTATTTTTAATATAAGCTAAAGAATATTAGACCCATCAACTTCAACAGAAGTCCTCCAACACATTAAGGAATGTCTTTCACAACATTTATGCCATAAAGTTTTACCATAATTTCCTCGCTTTTCCTTGAACCTTGAACTGCAAGAATTAGAGTACAGCTGTCCTTACTAATAGTTAAACAATAATCAAGGCACTCAATTCACATTGGATGACATGAGGACTAACGATAGACAGTCTTGAAAAGCTTATTATTCTTTACCGCATTAATCAGATAATTATTTAATGAACTCTGTCATATTTGCATTTTCAGTAATAAAAAGACAAACAATTTTGCCATTTTTCCGCATGGGCTCGTTTCTGAGCCCATTTAATGTTTTAATAAAGAGCAAGTTCTTTTTATTCATTTCAGAAAAATTTTATAAAAGCGGAAGAATATATTGAGTTTATTTATCAGGAACTTTAAACTTTAAAGTTTATATAAAAATAAAAAAAAAGCAACCTAATACTTATTGGAGGCAATCTGACAGGGCAGTCTGGACTGTATTACCATCTAACAAGATTAGCGGTTTACTCTTAAGATGCCACAACATATATTTGGAAACATTGTTGGGCATCTTAAATCGGTTGAGTTAATTGAATTCAATGATTCAGGGAATATATTAAAAAGGGAGGGATCATATTAAAACTTTGAATCATAGTGCAAGATTCCCTAAACTTAATAATAACAATCATTTACATCTAAATCGTGCTAAATATCGAAAGTATTAAGGACGTGTGCGAATTAGGCTAAGTTGATGCAAAACCAAATGGGAGATTTTTTGGGATTTTTTGCACTGCACACATTTAGCCATTTATCAATACGTATTGAGACATCACTACATTATTGACATAACTTAGAATTTTTCTCACTTAGAACGCAACTTAGCCTAACTCGCACACGTCTTAAATTGCTAAATAGAAATATAGTTCTATACAAAAACAAAATACCAAAGTACAAAAAAGTTTTTTCTGTGACTCTATTAGCGTATTTTTAAAATACACACTCATTAAGCTATAAAAAAAGAAGTAAATAATATGACATAACAAAAAAAATAATAATAAACTAATAAATAGTTGAACATTTTGTTTTTAAAACTATTTAAGAATGTATTAAAATAATGGTTTAAACGACTTTATATAACTTTAATATTTAAACGACTTTATATAACTTTAATATTATGTTGGTATTAGTAATGTAACGAATTAAAGTTTTAAATTTTGATATTTAATAATATCAAAATGTTATAAAATATACACATATCCAAACAAAATATTAATAATAGAATATTTGACAATATTTTGAGACTATTATTTAAGGTTTAATGAGTTTAACATGCTAAATAGAAATCGGAAATAAATTTATTAATTTATATAAAAACAATATATCTTGTCATTATCTTTTGTAGTTTATTACACTTAAATTATTTAATAGGATATTTGTAACATAAATTATATTTCTTATTTATTGTTGTATATATATTACTCATATTTCAATATTTATAAATATTCATGATTTATATATATGACTTATATCCGTTTATAAAGGGTTTAGTACCAATTACTTATTTTTCTTTGACTTTGACAATTTAGATGCACATCACTAAGTAAAGAGAGAGAGACCGTATTTAGATTGTCATTCGCAGAGCGAACGCATGGTGTGTTGTTGTGTTATTGCTGCGGTAAACGTTTTATTAAAATTAAATAAATTCATTAAACATGAGTGACGTTGAGGAGCAGTATGATCCCAAAACTCATAAAAGTTTACTACAAGCCATTAGCAATTTGCAAACAACCCAACATATACGCAAGGCTACTCGTGGCGAGATAAGGAATCAGCACGACGAATTTCAGTTGGTAAAGCGTGCGAAGTTATCCACAGATGTACCCAAGTCTAATCTTGCAGTTAATGATGTCGTCCAAGTGCTAAAGAAAACTAAAAAACATTTAGATACCGGAAAACTGTTGAAAAATGTACAATCAACAAAGAAGGTTCTTGAAAAACCACTGGAAAAAACTGCAGCAGATCGTATACGCCGCACCATTGCCTATGAGAACACAAAGAAAACCTTAGCACGCTGGGATGCAGTAGTTGCTAAAAATCGTAGTTCTGAGACGCAAGTTTGTAAATTCTTTAAATTATATTTTCTTATTTTTTTATTTTGGATTTTCAACAGGTGTTTCCTTTGCAAACTGAGACAATTTATGTTGATACATCAGCACACGCAAAACCATTTAATTCGTCTCTGAAATCTGACTTAATGCTTGAAATGGAAGCAAGCGAAGCCAAGTTAAGAGCTTTAAAAAGGGAACAAATGGGTGATACAACAGATGAAAAAGAATTAGAAAACGAAAAACAGAGATTGTATAAAAGAGAAATGGTACGTCAGGAACTTATAGCTAAGCGTAAAGAGTTGGCGTATTTAAAAATGCGTGAATCACAAAAATCAGCTAAAGCACGTTTGCAAAATAAAATAAAATCCAAAAAGTATCACAAATTAATGAAACGGCAGAAGATACAAGAACAGATGAAACAATTTGAGTTGCTGCAAAAAACAAATCCCGAGGC